AAATTTTGTAATTGCCAAAGCTTTCTCTGTAGATAGATGCATGGTGTGAAACGTGGAAAAGATTGGAGCAGAGTACTTTGTAAAGGTAGGAGGTAAAACTTTTTTGTAATGGAAACTGATTGTATTCATTTTGGCATTTGCAGACTGACTACTCTTTGTGCTTCCTAAGCATTGGCATAAACCATCGTGCTTTTCCCTTGTCGCACAAAGGTCAATTATACAGCAACCGATTTAGTCTCCAGTAATGGTGGTAAGAAAACCCAGCGCAGCAGTAGCAGAAAACATGCTTTTCTTGAGGCTTAGATGCCCCAGGTGACCAGTTTATCTTCAGTGTGATGGTGGAACGGGATCTTTGAAGCAATGTGGTTGAATATGCAAAACAGATTATTTTTTTGGTTTTTTTTTTTTTTTTTTTTTCCTCCTTTAAAGTTGTATAGAGCACGTAATCACAGCTTAGGACTCCAAACCCCTTCAGCTTTCAGTGGTCAGTTCTAAGGTTGGTTTTTTTTTATAGATAATTCTTTAAAAGCTTGACATCAATTTAGCTCATCTGTTTGAGAGAGAAGGAAGCATTCAAGGCAAGTGCTTTTGTGGGCAGCAAAGGAGGAATCCTGGTAGATTGGATGTATGGATTTCCGTACTTGATCAAAATTTGATGTAGCACAGTTAGGATTTTAAAGCTTTCCTTCAGATCAGTGTAAGGGACTCTTCCGCTCCTTTTGGAAGGTGTAAGGTTTTTGGTTGCTTTGGTTTGGTGGGGTTTTTTTGTGTTGGGTTGGTTGGTGGTGGGTTTGTTATTTTTGGGGGGTTTTTTTGGTCAGTACTGTGTTGGCAGTAGATGTGATGCTTCATTAAATGCAATGATATTTTAACTTTCCTAACAAACTGATGAGCTACTCTCTTGAAATGAAAGGATTTCTGTGCTTTTTGTAGCATCTTTAGCTTTTTGTAGGAAGCAGAGGAATGTTTAACTGCTTTAAGAGGCCAAGTTTGTTCTGGAGGTTTTTTTGCTTTGTTTTTGGGCTCAAAAGCCAAGGTAACTCTGCATGTGCAGCAAAGTTTTGAGTTGACGATGCTCAGGTTTTTTGTCAAGTGAAGCTCATTGATGGTATGAACCATCATAGCTTTGAGTAATACAGATACTGTACAACCACCGCAATCCAGAGCAAAATAGTAATTCACACCCGAAGTAGCTGACCTGATGTAGGACTGTGATTTTGGGGAATCTCCTGCAGTATCTTGACAGCAAATGGTGTCTGAAACCTCATAGACTGAATTTATGGAGTTGGCTAGAGTAAAAGTTTTTGGCTTTGGCCTAGGGCTGTTGGGATACTGATGGGAGAAGGACAATACTTGAGTTCCAGTTACGGAGCATAGGCTTCTCTTAAATACTTGCTGGTTCTGCAGTGAGGCATAGTAGCTATATCTAATGAGCTTGAAATATCTCTGAGGTCCTGGCTTTTTCACTGCTGCTCATGCTTTGTAGTAACAGAGAAGGTGAGTGTATAGGGAGCAATAGAGCAGAACGTGTGTGTGTTTGCAGCTACTTCAATTAAAAATAAACAACCCCCAAACTCCTCTAGATTCTGGAAAGCTAGTAAATGGAAAGGTCTTCAACATTGCTTTGCTTCTCAGCATTTTATTAACTGTGGAGGTGCCAGGGATGCTTGTTCCCAGTGAGGGGCTACTGCTTGCAACCGCAGCAGGGGTATGCGCTGGTGCTGCATGAGCCCTGCAGCCTCTGCACGGCACCCCGCAGGCTTGTGCTTTCACCCCTTCCCATCAAGAGGCGGATGTGCATTTGTGGAGGGAGCGAATGCAGGTGCCCAAGGTGTGTCCCAGGTCACCCCATGGGGCTGAATGGGCCTGCCTGGATGTGCAGGCTCCTCTCCCGCAGCCAGATATGATGTACCTTGTGGTACCTGTCTGCAAGTTGCACAAGAGAGGATACAGAGGGCTGGGAAAGAAGTTGGTAAGTTACCAGGAGCACATAGGGTGAAGTGATTATGGTCTGGACATACCAACCCAAAGGGTTTAACACAAAAAAATACGGTAATCAACTTGTGCAGATACCATATTTGCTGTGTTGTGATGGCTGGGTGTGTGCATTTAGTGTGCCTGGGGTCTGAGAGAGCTTAGCCCTCAGGAGGAGGCAAGCAATGTGCCAGCTTGCATGTTTACATCTTATTTCAACCTTTTTTTAGGTCAGCTTAGGAGAGGTGCCTTATACAAATATCTCCCCATAAACTACCTTTTTTTCTTTTTTTTTAACAAGTAGATTTTTTTTTTAACCACTCAATACAGCAAATACAGAATCTCAGTCTTACATAGTTCAGTTTCACTTCCAGTGTTTAAGGCATCAGTGCTTTAAAAGATGTTCTTAAATGTTCTTCTTTGACTAGTCTATTACTCATTTTGAAACAAAGATTGAAGAGTGTTTTTTTTTTTGATTAGTTGAAATAGATAAGTACTTTATTTCTAAGAACTTAAAAAAAAAAAAAAAGTCTTAAAAATTCCTGCTAACCAACACTTTTGTTAGTGATCCCTGATGCACCAGTGAGAATGAAAATACACAACAGTGAGGGAGGGAGTCCATGGACAACAAAATAAAAAGCCTGTATCACTTTGGTTGGCTTCAAAGAGAGTTGCCTGCTTCGTGCAGGTGCCCGTCTGTGGTGGCTATCCAGGTGACCCTCCCGAAATTGCTGTTGCTGTGGACTCACACTAGGAATAGGTGGGCTCTTGTCAGTTGGTCCCTGCCAGCAGCTTTGTATCTACTGCTGGAGGTGCAGGTTTAATACTTCACTTGTTCAAAACTGCTGGGTTTAGCATGAGAAAGGGCACTTTTGCTCCAACAGCCTCACTGCAAATGGGTGTTCTCGACAAAGTTGACGGATTTGTCTCTCAGAGCACCTGGGCTGCTGGTACAGGGCTCTGTTTTGTAGATGGGTCCTTCTCTGAAGGTACATCTTCATCTGAAATAGCTCAGTGGAGAAGCCAAAACTACTCAGCTCCCCAGGAAAATGCAGGGGCTGCTGGGGCTGCTCTTTCCTCTCCCTGCTGTGTGCTCCCTTTTCCTGGATCCTGTCTCTGGCTGAGCCGCAGTGTGTGCCTGAGCGGGTAGGCAAGCCGTGCCGGCTGGCCACTGAGGCGGCTGCTGCTTTGTTGCTAGGAGAGCCCAGCAGAGTGTTATATATATACACATACACATGTTTTATATATATATATATATTTTTTTTTTTTTGATTCCAGGCACAGAAGAAACAAAATAGGAATAGAAGATGGGACAATAAGGAAAAGAAACCAGTGCTTTAAAGCTGCACAAGCTGAAGAGATTGAGTTTTGGGAACTGCTCGTGGTCCCTGAGCAACACTGGCATGTTCAGCAAAGGCTTCAGCAGCAAGTATAGTTGCAGTTCACCAATGAATTAAAAAGTAAGAGTGAGGGCTGAGATAACAAGTGCCTGTCTTGCAGGAAAAACAAGGCTGTAAAACCTGACATTTTAATAACCAGGAGGATCATATTTTTTTGCTATCCATTTACAGGGAGAAACTGATGGCTGAATATTATTTAAAATAGCGATGTTCCGCTCTACCCCTTCAACCCCATTGCCTACTCATTTATTGCCATTTGCTGCTGCTTGAGCAGGTGAAGCTCAGCTGGCCAAGTGCCATCCCACTGATGCTGTATGTTGGCCACTCTGGTACAGCAAGCCCAGCCACTCTCTTGGCTCTAGAAGTAACAAACCAAAAGCCAAAAAAAATATGATGTGAATAATCTATATTACTTGTTTGAGAAGGAGAGCTCAGCATGGTTATAGTTCAATCTATTGACATATTGCCTGAGGCTGCACTGATCCTTGTGTGTGCTCACTGGAGGGAAACCCATGCAAGTGATGGAGGAGACCCAACTATGCTTTCTCTCCAGAAATCTGGAATGGACATAATAGGGAGAAGAAAAAAAAGTGTGTTGACTTTTTTTTTTTTAAATTTTGTATGTTTTTTAGCATTCCACTGCCATCTTAACATTTTTATAATACTGTCCTTTGCTTTGACTGAGAGAGATGGGGTAGCTTCTTTGATGTCTTCAAGACAGGGTTTGGCTTGATCATATCTGTGCTACAGCACAGAGTGCAGAAAGGCATTAGAGAAGAACAAGTGAGACAGAACTGGCAAAGGTGGAGATATTGACAGTGAAATAAATGGGTCTGAGATAAGTTTTCTGTATTTAAGTATAATCTAAGTACTGAGTACGTAATTTCACTTTTTTTGCTGCAACTTTTATTGGGGGGGCAGATGGGAGGGGAATGGGTGACTAGAAAATCTGGTCTGGCAGTCTACAGCAGGAGGTATTGTGTTCTTCTGTTTTAACTCTACCTGAATGCAAGATACAATCTTTGATATTTTAAATAGAGAACTGCTTCAGCAAGATGGATTTGTGCATATCATTTACAAAGTATGTTTTTAATGCCTTTCTGAAATCCAAACTTATGCAAAATGGGGCTTGTTATGCATGTCTATGCATTTTAATGTCCTGCAGTGATTTGTCAGTTTTCCTTAACATCTCCCTGGCATATTACAGCCATTCTTCAACTTCGCTTCACAGGGCTGCGTTTGTGTCTTAACTCACTCAGTTCTCCAAGCAAGGAATGAATTGCAATCTAGTTGTTGTATGGTAAGGCTTATAAGCTAATGTGCCTATTTTCTTGGACTGGGATCAGTACCAGTTGTGGATTTACAGACTGGGAAAACCTGAGTGCAATTCAGGCTACAGTATCTTTTATTTATGCTTTAGTGTAAGCCGTTGTTACGCAGCTGTCCTGTTACTGTTCTTGTTTCTATTGATTTGTGCTACTTGTGTGTTTCTGTTTTACATTGATAATTGGTTAGTGATTTTTTTTTTCTCCTGCTTCGAATGTCTAAAATAGCTCAGCTAACCAAAGAGTTGATGTGATTTTTTTTTCTTTTTTTTTTTTTTTTTTTTTCCTTTTCTCTTTCCAGATGGGCTTTCTGGCAGAGACCAGCCAGTAGAGCTGTTGAATCCACCTAGAGTGAACCACATGCCTAGCTCTGGTAAGAAGAAACTTTTATTAAATGTTGTTCCTATTCTGGGAATGAAGTAAAATGTTCTGCAGCTCTATCTTGCAAGTGGGAGAGCAGAATGCAAATGTAAAATGCTGGAACAAAGTCTGTTAGAACTTGCACACACACACACTTTCCCAGGCTGGGCTAGTGGGATTTGGGAGTGGAGGGAGGACAGAGCACAGCAGCCTTGGGAGTCTTAAATAGCTCAGTGCTCACCCTTGGCAGGGGGCTAAGGAGAGCCTAACCTGCTTGGGGCTGCTTGTTTTTCCTTAGAAAGGAGAGGACAGCAGAACAAAAGCAGCACCTTAGAGTCTTTTCACAGCTTAAAAGGAGCACTGCAAAGTAGGCTTTTGAGTTGCTGCTCCTATTAAGGAGAACTCCCCTTTGTGTTGAAATGAGGAGCCAAACACAGGATGATCAAAGCGTATCACGCTGGGCTATTTTCTTTTCTTCCCTCTTCTAATGATCTCAGGATCATTACGGTATCTCTTGGGTCTTGTCCTTCTGGTATGAAGCAAGTACAGCAGGCACAGTGTTCATCCTGGAGACTGTCTGTTCCTTGCGGAGCTGAGAGAGATCTTCTGACTCACAACTGCAGCACTTCAAGTGATGGAAACCAAAGTTTTGGTCACAATACATGAAATGCTATGGAAAGCAATCTGTGGCTGTCTTTTGCGTTTTCCCCCTTTTCTCTTCCAAAAGTGTTTTGTTTCCAGGTGCAAACAGAGAGAGATATTTATACTAGGGATGATAGAATATATGAAGTGTTACCTACTTTCTAGGTAGGAGCTTGAGTTTTCCAAAACCCCGACTTTCCCTTCTCTGCTGCCTTCCAAAAATGCCTTTAGGTCTTTTTTGTATTAAGGAGGAGATCTCGCAGAAGATCTAATCGCTCCTGGTAATGCAAGTTGGAAAAATGTAAACTAAGCTTATTCAAAACAACTTCAATAGATTGGGGGGGGAAGGGCTGTGACCTAACCTAGATTTTTGTGGACTTAAATGCATATGTGGGGAAGGAAACTTTTAAGGAGGTAGAGCTATTGTGTTGGAAAAAAAGGAAGAGATCCTCATTTACCAGGTATGAGTGTTTGGCTTCAGATTCTGAGAAATCTGTCTTCCCTCCATGTGCTCCAAAACTTGTCCATCAGGTAAGGGAGGTTGTATTTTCCTAACCCTGAGAGAAATTCTTATTTTAAGACTACCGTGGTAACGCAGGCCAACTTAGAGGTTTTACTTGCCGTTTCATATCCATGTGCTAGATTGAATTTTGTGGCTCTGCACAAGAGGAGTCTCAGTCCTCTCTTATGTTGGTAGATCAATGGCCAGTATTGTGAACATTGTGGGTTTTAGTCTTTTACTCTCTTTTTTGAATTGATTGTTGTTTGTTAGGTCAAATGTTCCTTTTGAGATATTTCAGGACAAAGGGTGATGCTGGTTAACAACTTGGGTAACCTGATGGTAGAGTCCAGTGTGCTCTGACTATTTTTCCACAGATGAAAGGAGGCTTTTTTAAGGTGTTATGGACTCATACAGGATTTATGGAATTCTTACTGTTTGGACTCCATTTTGAGTATTTTTAATAGCTCGCCTGTTTGCCTACTGAAAAAATAAACAGCTAGCTGTCACTGGGCAGCTGTGCTCATGCTAAGCAGACGGTATGTGAGATAGGCAGCGATGTCTCTTTGTTGAATGACTTCTGCCAGCATTTGAGCCATGGGAATTCCTGTCTTGTGCTGGAAAACTCGGGCTGGTTGTGCGTGTAATGGGCAAAGGGTAGAACTGACTGGGAATGAAAATGTGACCTTATGCAAGAAGCAGCATTGGCTCTGGACAGTGGTCACCCAGGTACTTTTCACTCGAGACCCTAATGCTTGTTCAGTTTCTGCTAAATGTTGGAGAAATCTTTTCAGCCCTGCAGTGTGTACACAGGCTGGAAATGTCTATCTTGCATTTTGATTTGCAGAATGGTAATTAAAATTGGAAGCACAGTGTTTGGCAAAAAGCAAAAAGGTGTTATGGCATGTTTGTAAATGCAAGGAAATATCATTGATTTTGGAAGTGGCTCATCAGCTGGCTTTCAAATGTGGTGCCTGCCTATACCTATGTATCCTGATGGGTTTTTAAAATTGCTGTTAAAAGTTGCAGTCAGTTTGAGGGAGTTACCCACTTGAGCAAACCGTTGTTGTGTCTGGTTATTATCATTATTATCTTTAGGAGTTTGTTGCAGATCCTTCTGAGACAAGAAAGGAGAAGTAATACCAAGTATTGCTCTGGAAAAACAAGTTATCTGTGGGTTTGTGGGGTGTTGTTCCAAGTCTCAGGTATGGCTGAAATAATGGTGTTGAAAAACAGCTTAAGGAAAAAAATTGCTTAATTGTGTCCTGGAATATTCCACTGAAAACCTTGTGCCATTCTGGTTATGGTAAAATGACTGATTTCTAGCCCTCGTGATGAACAAACTTGAGCGGATGATGAGCCTTTATCCCCAGAACTACATTTCTGTTTAAGATAAAATCATTGCGGCATACTTGTAGGAAACCAAAATGTTTTCTCTTTGCCACGAACCAAGTAAAGAAGTGTGATCCTTATTAGTTCTCTGATATAAAGGGGTGAGAAAGGGATGTGCAATACCCAGGTCCTAAACATGCTCTGTTCTGTGGAAGCACCTCAAGTACAAAATCAAAATGCTTAAAGCATTTTTATGAAACTGTTCTAGGAATGAATTGGGTTGAGTAGAATGAAGTTCAGTCATCGGCAAGGTGTGTTTTTTAGGAAAATGACTTCTCTCTCTGCTTTTTGCATAAATCAAGGATTAATTTGAGGAAAGGAAACATTTTCTCTTTTCAAAAATGTATCACGTATAATTGGTGCTTCTGAATTTTAGTTGCTTGTAAAAGTAAAACAAGACAAAACCCCCACAACTCACATCTTGCACAAGAATATAATAATCTGTACGATAATGCTGCTTTCTCTTTTTCTGGCTTCAGAATATTACTGCATCTTTGGCCTGGGGGAGGAAGGGGCAAGTTGCTTTTCATTAATTTTTACTTGCTGAATCCAGAGAACTTAAGAGCAAGGACTACACTAATTATTTTTAGTTAATGTTACATGGAAAATCTCATGATGATTAAGGAGCCAAGTTTAGCAGGAGAGAAAGCTTCTCAGATATGTGGACACAAAGGTAGCCACTGCCTGGTTTTGATGGGTGGTAGCAGATTGCTTGCAGGAAGGTGAAGGAATTGTCCTGCAAGTTAACATACTGGTTTTAAGTATTTTTTGTGTTTTTCGTGTTTTACAGTATCCTTCTCCTTTTCAGCAGTCCACTTAGCTGCAGTCTGCCTAAGGGGACTGATTCATATATAAGGAGGGAGGGACAGAACTCTCTTGTCCTTTACTTTTTCTTCCTATGCTTTTAAATTAAGCAATGCCATGCCTTTTCCGTAGTGTGAAGCTGGGGGGCCAGTCTTAAAGACCTCAATTGTGTACGTACTTAGATATATGTTGTAGATAATTCTCTTAAAAAACATAACTTCTGTACTGTTGGTACCATCCTTGAGGTTTGTCAAATTGATCTTCATTAAGCATACTTTGTAGGATGAATTTTCTTTCTTTATAAAAAGTGCATAAGTAGTACTGTGTTTACAGTACTTCAGATAACTACCTCCTGTAAGTCTTCAGTTTTTTGTGTTAGTATAAACTTTGTAGTTGCTAATTTTCTTACAGTACAATCTTAGGCAATTTATTTAGTATTAGAAATGTGAAAACAGCTTGATATCTGTGATATAGAAGTAAAATGCTAGAATTAAAGCAGGTGGAAACTAGTCCTTTTTAAACTTAAAAGCTTTAAGTAATACAACTGCAAACTGGGATGAGCTGTCTCAGCCCATGTTTCCCCAATATGCTGGTCATGGCCTAATGTGAAGTTCTGGGCATATCTGTGTACAGTACAATTACTGAATTAGGAAAGAAATTCCCCTTCCCGTAGGATTTCCGTTGGCTTTTCAGGGATGTGTTCCCAAGTTGTGATAAAAATAATAGTGAAATCATATAACTTATTGCTGTGGTTGAGTGCAGCTGACAAATAGTTTGAATTGGGACATATCCATTGCAGAATACAGATGTATGGAGAGGTTGAGGAATAGATGCTGGGCTTCTTGCCCCTAAGGTGAAGACCTCTCTCTGACTGCTGTTGTGGATCAGCTGGAAAGCTGCTGCATGCCTTCCTGAGGTTGCTCTCCATCTGTCATCTGCAAACCACTGGTGGTCTGTGAGGCCATCGTGCACGTTAGAGAAGTGATCAGTGGTCGTTTTCTGATGAGTTTTTGAGGGTTCATAGTAGTCTTCTGTGAAACATTAGGAATTAGTGGGTGAAACAAAGCATGGAGGGTGGCTGCTGCTGAGCATTTTCTGTAAGAGCAACAGGGGTTTGACTGGGGGTGTCCTAGTGGTGGCAATGAGCAGACCGTATCTTTGCATTAGGCTGCCTGAAATGGCTCTTTCACACGTGGCTGCCCTCCTGCTCTCCATCCAGGCTACTGCCGCTGGCTACACTGACCTTCTGCAGCTGCATGTACTGCGATGCTGTGGCTCAGCCGTCAGGGTGGCTCTTCCAGCATGGTACTGGGGCTCTTCTGGATCTGACACTGGCAAGAGCAAGGACAGCACAGCAGGGGCAGCCACAGGATTATATATGAGATTTCAGCTCCCTGATTTTTCTTCTTCTAGGATCTAATTATCTGGTCTCACTTCCACATTCATCTGAAAAAAAAAAATGCTGATGTATGTATGAATAAATGGATTGCAAGAGCCTCTAGACTAATATTGTTACATGATTTTACAGGCTTTTGAAATCAGAGATTAATCCCCGTCTCTAAGAGGAAGGAGTGGTAGTCCAGTTGGTCTAACAGAGCTGAATGCCATGCCTTTGTTAATTTATCCCTTCAAAGGAAGGGGATGCCCTCTCACTGCACCGTGTTTTCGGATACTTG